TAAACCTGCCTTTGACTTTTGCAGAGATGTGTACCCTCCTTCAGCAACAGCAACTGCTGGTGCTCCCCAGTCACCTGCACTTTCACTTTACAGATTAAAGAAATAGCATTACACAGTTTACATGAGGTTTGGTATTTTTGACTGCATTTTATTTTTTCCCCCTCGAATCAACATGCTAAACTCTTGGTTTTATAAAGTTCCCTGTCAACAAACACAAAGGGAAACTTGGTCTAGACCAGGTAAAGACAACCACTGATACTTTTTTATTTTTTTCCCTTCTTAAAGGGAACTTTGCCAAAAGATGGGCTGGGATCATAAACCATCCCCTATTCTTTGTTTAATTACTTAGCTTTTGCTCTTGACTTGGCAAAACATTAAGCTTTTCGTTTTAGTAAATCTATAATTAACTCCAACATGTGCTGAATAAACATAACCTCATTTTTAATTAAATCTTAGAACAAGATGCTACAACTTGCCATTTCTAAGGAGAAGTATCTCTCAAGTAATGTGCAATAAAAAAAAAAATCTAATCCTTGTCAAATACAAAACTTAAGTCCAACTTTTGAGTATAACCTACCCTCCTTTAAGTAACCTGTTGTCCAAACGTGTTCACTAACTACAAGATCAAAATGTAAACCTTAAGAACCATCATGTCACACTGAAAGTTCCCAAGACTAAAGTGAAATCAAACCTAAAGGCTAACATAGCAAATCAGATATAACCTTGGCTTTGAGACTCCTGAAGAATATTTTCTCCAGTACTCCTCACCAGATTTTTTTTTTTTTTTGGAGATGATGTAGTAATTCTCCACAGAAAGATAAAATAAATACAATTTTTCAAGAATGGAAGGAGTTGAAGTATCACATGCATTATAAACAATGGGGGACTTTTAAATTAGTCATTCGTAAGAAGATTCAGAAAATTTATATCTGACTGCACATTCATATAGGACTAACTCCATAATTCAAAATTAAAATGAGACATCAATTCTCCAAATAAAGAGAAACCTCTAAAAAATCCCCATAAAGCTAAGCTACTGTGAAAGCATAATGTCAACTCTACGTCAAGCTTATAGACGAACTAATGGAATAATATGAAATAATAACCATCTTTTGTTTATCCTGCAACTCTAAGATTTTTTTCAAATAATATCTCTGGCATTACTTATTTCCAAATGACCCTCAAAAACTTAGATTAAATGCTACAGTTCAGTAGTAGAAAGCTTCAGAAAACTTTACTTCAAGAAATATATATAACTGAGACAAAGAAAAGAACCAAGAAATTGTTGAAACTACATGGATAAAGCTAAAAGATTTACAGTTTTCAGGACAAAAAAAATGCTGTGCATTTCAATGAAAATAAGTACTCAAGAGAACTTTATAATATTAAACCTCATCTTCTTACTTATCTCTTTCAATCAGCTCTCCTCTCAAAGACAGAGTCTCTGAGTTAATGGTTCTTACTACCACAGAATCTAGATATTGATGACTCTGCATTAGGCAGAAGCTGGTCCACTTATTAGCCTTATCCAAAATGTATTCAAAACATGACTTCAAAAGAGTTTCACAAAGCATTTTCTTCCAGCCATTTTATATTATATTTCAATTTCAACAAGCTTATTCTGGACAAATTTTTCCCTTCACTTCTCATCAAATTTAGCTTCGTCATCTTTCAACAGTTTAATGATGCATGATGGAAGTCCCATTGTTTCAGTGGTAGTGCACAATTAAACGAAGTGCCTTGAGACCAAAGTACGTGATCTTGCCCACGGGTGATGCCTATTTGGTAGTGTACTAAGCACAAAGGTAGGATTATCATTTACAAGAGTGCCACAGCATAGATAGTGTTTTCTATTCTCCAAGGAGCACAACTTCCATGCTTCATCTAATGCCCTTTTCCCCCGCATCAGTCCTCTACTGCCTGATTTTTTCAGCAAACTTTGGCTTACGTATTCATGCTGTCTGCATGTATTCTCATCATTCTCCCCCATATCCTCCCTTAAGGTAACTTTTTAAAAATAGTTGGACAATCATAACCAAACCTGAGAAAAGAAGAGAGATCTTCATTATTAAATTCTCACAAGTTCTATGAAAACAGATACTTAAAGACTAAAATCTTGCCCTGAACCACAGCACGGGCTCAACCTTTATTAGTCTGAAGAATGTCTGCAGTCAGACTGAAGACATAAGTCTTTATAGGGCTTCATTATGCATACTACTTGTTTTAAAATTAAGAGTTATGCTAGATTTCTGTAAGGTAAATCTTAAATACCAAAAATGAACATTAAGAACACAAATGTGGAACAAAAATATTAAAAATGGATAATGAAGCAACATATGCTATTACCTGCATTGTTTCTTTCGATTTTTAATCACAATTAAGGAAGACACAACAGAGAATCATTCTTAAAATATAAAATGCAGTAGAAAAGTGTGCATGTTCAGACACTTAATGGCAAACATTTACCATCCAACTGTTCTGCAGTTGTAATGAAGAGATTTTTTTTAGCCACTGATTAAGGATATTACTAAGAGTATCCTCCTAGATATCCATGTAGTTTCAACAAAAACTGAGGGCACTCGTAACACCAGACACTACTGCTAAGGGAGAGACAAGAGGAGTGACACAGCAACAACTCCAAAGTAAGCTTTTTATGTGATGACATCATTATGCTGAAAGTTGGCCTATCTGGTTACACAATGTGAACACTGATCAGCCTTTCTTAACTGGATCCTCTGTTGTGATAAACTGTTCACTGCCATTTGTCTGACATGTGCAAGTCTAAGTCTGGAACGAAATTATGGTCTTGAGTTTTAAAATGTTACTTCCATAAATGACCACCACCTATTCCTGAAATCTGTGTTTTAATGCAGATCTTTACAGCCAACACAAGCTGCACTAGTAGAAGCTAAATTATATCTTAAATGGTTACTTATTATAAATTAAGAGCAATTAAGAGCTGTCTTTCCCTAACAATGCATTGCAATGCAGCATCTGCTGTAAAGAAAGCAGTTAACACACAGTAAAATGATGTACTGCAGTGAAATCATATCGTAGTTCGTTTTATTAACTTTGCTAGCTTTCCTGACAGAATGCTGTTCAACACTTACAAAGATTCATGCTACCAATATAATTAAAAGATAAAACAATTCATCAAAAGTTAGTTTTGCTCCATATTTCAATTATTGAACATAAATGTTATTTTCAAACTCGAAGATTTTGTTATAAAGTCATCTTTGAAATCTTTGCAATTTTGCAAAGAAAAACTATAAAAATATGCTTGGAAGCCCTCTTGAGGAAGTGTTATGTTTTGGAAACGCTCAATGCAGTAGATAAACTCTCCAGTGGGCAAACCCTCCAGTGTAAGTGAAAGACTAATCTTGCTTGGACTGATAACACTCAAGCTGTATGACATCCAGTCATGTTGATAGTGACAGCATCTGAACCGACAGGATTAGTAATGATAGCAGTAATGGCATATCTGTAAACTGATGGTACACTACCAGTAAAAGCAGAAAGACCAGACATCACTGGGTTCTCTGATTCAAAAGCAGGCACCGACAGTATTACTTCTAAACATGCAACTAAACACACTTAGGACAATGCTCAGTAAAAAATTTTGTAAACTTCAGGAGATGAAATGCAGTGTGCCTATGCAGCTGATACCAGTTCCTAATCAAATGTGGTAGACTCAAAATCAACTCTTCAGTAATGTAAATGATCCTTTTGAAAGTCTTTTTTGGAACCTTTTTAAGTTAATGTGTGAAGTTTTGCAGAAAATGTGTTACTTTTTCTTTGAACAAGTCTTTCTTTCATGGTACAGCACCATAAGGTAAATTATCTTTGAGGAACATAAAGCACACTTAAGTAACTCCTTTCTTTTGAATGTAGGACATCTGAAAATTGATGGAAATTTTATTGGCCTTGGGTCATAATGTTTAACAGGTTTATCTAATTTCATCTCAGAGCACTCACATAGTCATATAATTTTTTTTCTTTCTAATCATAATCATCCTTTGACTTGTCTTACTGAACTTATTATGCCTAAAAAAGTACAAGGAAAGGACAGATACATTTCTGCACCCAAAGCTTCAAGGAGTAATCACAGTATTTTTCTTGAGAACAAGCAATGTAAACTTACAAACACATGAAGGTCACACTGAGAAGTTGGTTAAAATCAGAGCCAAAAGCTAATCCTGTTAGATTAAGTTAGACTAGTTTTTTGAAATGCTGGCCTTAGATTTTTTTTATCATCTCTGCAGATCAGAAAATGCTAATACATCAGAGAAAGATTAAAAAATAAAATAAAATAAATAAATCACCATCATGTTATGTGGAAAGATATAAGGGTGATGGGAGAAGAATAATCAGTCATATCTGCTTATCAAACTATTTAAAAGGTAAAAAAAAAAAAAAAAAATCATTCAAAACCTGCCTATCACCAACTTTTGTTGACTTTGTGTCACATTTACTTTGAATAATTTTTTTTTTTTATTTTAAAGTAGCCAGACAAAGATTTGTTATTTACTGTCATAGTGAGGTAGAACTGCCATAGGCAAACCTACTAATTAAGAATATACAAGTATGGGGCTGTTGGGCAAAAAGTAAAAAAGGAAGGACTATAATCCTTTGTATTCTGAAAAAAAGGAAGAAACATCACTATCAACATGACAATTGTCATTGGCATTTTGTGTCTTCTCAAGGTAGTTCAGTATTTTCTTGATACAATAGCAAAGACTGTTAAATAGATAAATTTTTTTCCCGCTTCAGAAGCATTTCTCAGGACTTTTCTTTACCTCAAGTACACACAGCATAGCTTTTTTCTAACTACAGAGTATATTTAGTACAATATATAAAATGGCAATCCCTGCCTAATCTTTAAATGCAAGTTGTACCATGGTTCAACTGTAAGATACAAATAAACCTAGAGCAGATCGCTATGCAAACTAAATTCGAATGGAATTTGTCATTGCTGTAATCCCTCACGCATTTGTACTTACCTGCAGGTAAATATTTCAGCTGGTTGTTAGCCAAGCGAAGATGACGTAAAGATCTCAGGCGGCCAATCTCTGGACACACAATTTCGAGGGCATTATCACTTAGGTCCAGAAACTGCAGTTTAACGAGGGAGCCAATGGCTTGTGAGAGAAGAGATTAAAACATGAATGTGACCCAGCAGTAATGTTAAAATCTTAATAGGACTATGAGAGGATAAAAAACCACAGTACCTAACACCTATGTCTGATCAGATTTTGACGTATTAAAGCCGGTCTCACAACTGAAAGCCTAATTTGTGGAAATGCTTATCTATCTAGCAAGCAGTACTAAGACAGGGAGAAAAAATAGCGATGTACAGAATACTCCAATTTCTAGGTTCTCCTCAGACGATTCTGCTCCAAAATCATTTTTTCCGTGCCCTTGCATCTATCCAATTTATATATTCATAAAGAGTTTGAAGTACTTTCCTGAAGTTGGGCACATAACTACAGTTAAGACAAGGAAGACAAACTAGTACAAGTTCTTGGTACCTTAAGTTTCAAATCTGCCATGATCTAAACCAGCAGAGTATTCTGTGTGGTAACTGTCTGAAATCAGGAGACACTCTGGATTTTTGTTTCTGTAGATGAGTGCCATTTAGCCTTTTTACTTTCTGCAATTAGAACTGAAGCAAACAGCATTTAGGTGCATTTGAGAATTCATTAAAAGAATTTAACATAGCATAAACACGGATATTACCAACTAAGAGCTACACCAGTATATTTTGTATGAAAATCTTTAATGTTTTATGGGAAAATAAAGGAAAATAGGCCTCTTCAAAGAAGAAAAATTAATATTTTATGATTCCTGCCACTTATTATGAGCTGGTAGATTACTTACCTTCAGGTACAACAACTATGTTATTTGAATGAAGGTACCTGGGGGGAGGAGAAAAAAAGCAGAGGACACCACCTGTTACCCTCAAGGACTTCTGCTACATAGTCAGTTTGCAAAATATCCAATTTCAGACTGAAAGAGCACCCTCAAAGCCATTCCTCTCTATGACCACAAAAGCTGTGGAAATTGTATAAACTCGCAATGGATAGGTACTTAAGTTTCACTCAGACTATTAAATGATTAACATAAAAATAAAAAAGAATGATATACAATTATTTAAAACAAAGCATTCACAGTTAGAACAATAATGGCCTTTAGTTTTGAGAGTTATAAGAGGAAAACAAAAAAGAGAAAGAATAAAGCAGATAGAATAACCAGAATGAACCATATTTGATCACCAGGTTATTCCATGCTAAATGCTAGGCAAGAAAAAAGCCCAAACCCACATAAGTTACACAACTACTAACATTTTCCCCTGCACGTAAACTCTTACACCTTTACTGACTGGAGAAACAAACACATGATCTATTCACTGCAAGTGGGTTTTTCAAAGCTAGAATACATTTTTCGAAAGAAAACCAGCACCTTACACATGGTCATTTAGGTAGTTACTGAGGGGGGCCAGATCTCTCACTAAGAGTATTCAGCACCCTCTGCTGGAGCACTTCCAGTACTACTAATAACATACAATGTTAAGATTTTACACATTTTAGTTTTCAATCAACATTGCTGCAAAAGAATGAACGGATCTTGTAGAAAATAACAGTAACAAAATTTTCAAATATTGATATCTAATTGTAAATGAATACTGAGTACTCAATGTTCAGCTGCCTAGGCACACAAGGAAATTATTTGTACAGCATATTTTTCCATCCTATTCAAATAGCATTTCCTAAAGTAGGAGCCCGTCTTCGCAGGGAAACAGAGGCAGAACAAGCCAAGACATATGAACATTTCAATTGCATGGAGTATCTGAGCCTTCTCTTTCTTTAAAAATTGCAGACATTTAAAGTTTTCTAAAAATGTAACAAACATAAGGATAGCAGATATGTTTGTAGAAATCGTTATATATAACCTCAGGATGAGAATTCTCCTGCTCATTTCAGCTGCAGCTCCTGCAAATACTTGTGAACTATTTCACTCGAGCTAAAAAAATGTATATTATGAGGGTCTACACGTAATATCCCAGGATTAATGACAAAATATATAAAGAAACACAAACAATACTGAAGATCTTTAAAATGTATAGTGAAATTGCTAAGGGTGTAACTTTCAGGAAAATCAGTTAAGTTTGTCTTTCAAAATTTAAAGCTACTGTAACAAATTATTCTTTAAATAAATCTTTGGTTTGTGGTCTCTGTCTTCTCTGTCAACAAAAGATGTCTCATTGTCTGATCAAAAATTTACTTGTACTATTACAGCTACAAAAATCACAGGCCCACTGTAGTTCTCTCTAGACCACTGGAATGTGTGAGATAATGGTGGTATAACTAAGCTTGCTGAATCCCAAACAATTAGGTTTGACTCCTACAATTCAGTGTTTGCAAGAAATTATTTTAAACTGTAATTTATACAGGTTTTTCCTAAAGGTATCATCAAATAACACAGATTTCCTCATGTTCCATGGCAAATCATTAAATATTAAGTATACTAAATACAAAAATATTTTACTGCTTCGGACCGTAAACATACTCTCAAGGCTCAGACATGATGAGACAAGACTGTCTCTTAAGCAAGTCAGAGACTGAAGTGACCTACAAAACAGTTCAATTATACTGTGGTCGCATGTACCAGAAAGGTGTGGTTTCAAGGGCCAAATTAAGATGACAAGATCAAACGGCTGAATGCATTAGACTACTCAGATATACACCTCCTCCTATTTGCAGCTTTGCATTAAATAAACAGAATCGGTTACTCAACTGAAAATGAGCCAAATGAGTTATAAGGGGGAAAGAGGATGTCCCTTTTAATGCTCCCACCATCAATCCTACCATACAAGGAAATCACAACCTTACAAAAAGAAAAAGGGAAGGGAAAATACCATTGACTCAGGAACTTACAGCTTAAAATTAATTGCCAAAATGATATAATTTATGTGACATCCATTCTTTGGACAAGATTGGATAAACTACTCAGCCTACAGCAATCATCATTAAATAGCTGCTACCCTACTTGCTCACTCCTGCTCATGTTTGACAATCTGTGACTTGGTTCCCAAAAAACTTACTACAATCAGCAAGACTGAGATTATAATACCCCTAGTAGCTGGGGTGGAAATTATCAACTAGGGATGGGCTGGAGGCTGCAACCTGTTACTCTGGCTCTGTCACAACCATCTCACCATTTCATCTGGAAGTTCCAGTGCTTTATCAGGGTGACAACAGTCTACACGGAAGTTGGGGTGTAAGTACTTTTTCCCCCTTACCAGTGTAGACAATTGTATAACAGTTCTTGTTATACAATAAACAATTACAAAAAATATTAACATGGGACTGAATACATCTAGATATACCACCTCTAAATAAAAAAAAAAAAAAAAAAAATCCCCCCAAAAAACCCCAACACCAGAAAACTGGCCCTTTCCTGCCCTCCAAGAAAACCCTTCACACTTATGAGGTCGTTATGTACAAGCAATACATTCTAGAATTATCGTAAGATGGATCAGCATAAAAAAATATATTAGAACTCCTACACAAACTCACAATTCCACGAGGTTTGGAAGCTTCTGTGCAAGGTTTTCTGGCTGAAAAAGAGTTAGAGATTTTTTAGGTTTCACAACAGAAAAAAAAACAGACACACATATTGTGTACCCAACTCATTTTAATAACCATACTAAAACATGGCAGAAGCTAGTCACAGAAAAAGGCAACGAGGAGCTACTATACAATACCCTATTTCCACATCCTCACACATTCTCCATCAGTGCAATCTGGGATATATGAAGGGTGAGCAATTCACTACTGAAGCAGAACTACAGCCTAGAAGTGACATGAACATGTCCTCAACCAAACAGTAGTTAGACTTCTGAGGCTGAAAAAATGGATTACAAAAACCTTAATTTTGAAAATATATTAAAATAATTAAGTTATTTGAAGCCAAAAGACTGCTAAGAAGCTGCAACCTTTACAGACTTAAAGTAGAACAAGTACTATACAAGATGTCTAACCATAATGTATTTTATTTTGTTCTGCTGCTAAATTGGGAAATGATCTACAAACTTTGTGTGGTTTAATCAATTACCACCAAGACAGAAGCGCTGAATCCAAACTCAATTTCCATATTTACATATTAACATGCATATCATTTTCTAACTGCTAACTGATCCCTTGCTGCAATTCTGTTTCTCGATGGCATCTGTAACCATGAACATATAGCACATCAGCTTAATAAGTTTCAGATGTCATGTTGATAACTGTATTCAGTTATTCAGGGTTAAGACAGTTTTAGTCTTAAGAAATCTAAACACAGATATGTTTTACTGAAAAAAGTTTTTACAATACACATATGCAGAAACAAATTAATTTCCTGTTAAAAAAAACCTAGCAATTTTCCCTCTCGTGTAAATTTAAGATTTATTATTACCTAAAATACTTAAATTAGTATTTATAAATTTATTATGAAGGAATATGCTAACCTGAAAAAGTAATGTTATAATATCCTTATGTGGCAAGCATGCCACACCCTAGGTCAGAGTAAAAAAATAGTTTGCTTTTAACTATGGAACAGCAAATGATAGATCAATAAATGAATCTGTTGATGTCAAGACCCAAGAAACAGATTGTAAGTAATCAGTTGTTGCCACCTACTGGAAAGTTTGCTACAGTACATTTATCTTCTCAGCACAGTTTTATTTGGTCAGAGAAAAGCTTAAACTGGGAAAATATGCAAGGGCTGCAACACGCTCAAGCACAACAAATTAAAACTTGAATTTAAAAAATGAAGAGGAAAAGTTAGAAAACAAATTCACTGTCATCCTACACACCTTATTAGAATAAGGATACTAACCTGAATCACAAAGTATTTGCACATTATATATGAAGATTATACTCTTATTCTTGTGTTGACTGCTTCATATTGTAAGACAGCTAAGCTCAGGAGAGAAACAAGTTTATGGTTTAGCAAGACTATAATAGAAGTTCTGCTCGTCTGTTTTAGTACCACAAAAACCATGGGTCCGAGTGAGTTGCTCAATACAACATCCTACAGTGAAATTAAGATTTAAAAAAAACCTACTCGTGATCCATCAGTTGAGAAGTAAACCTAACTGTGGTCTCTGTTGGTGATGTGACAACAAACGATGATAAATGACTCATCAATTCTGCCATCAGTTTAGGGAAACTTGCCCTCAAACCCACTGGACATTTTTCAAAAAGTGAACCTGCTGATCTGTCTGAACAGGACAGCATTGCACACTGAGTTAGTAAATTAAGAACAATTGTTCATTGATATGGCTAGATCATGCTTCTGACAGTGCCATCAAGTCAAACTCGCACTTCCTTTTAATAGATAGGAAAATAAGATCGCTGAATGCCTAATGTTATCAGTGAAACATTAAACAAGAAGTTGGAAGACTTGATGCTCGGATACAGGTGTGCTATATAGCTTCTTGATCCATTCATGATGTCATAGCCCTCTACAATTTCCATCTTGCCAATGAAGACAAAATTAAATTATTCTCAGGCGAGGTATGTATAAATTCTGCCAGTGTAACTATTCCAGATGTTTTCATAGGAGCCATCTGTCAAGGACTAGAGTCATTTTAGAAAAGCAAAGAACAAAAGCTGATTTAGTCAACATTTTTCAGAATTGTGAAGATATGAACCAGTGGGATGAAAGTACCACCCTACTTAAAGAAATATGCTACAGATTTACTTTTGATGATTGCTAATAGTCCATATGCAATTTGAAGTATTTATTGTTGAGTTCATGCTCATCACCTTGCATATAATCAAAGGAGCACAAGATTGAGAAAGACATTAAAACTCCTCTCCTCAGACAGGATCACCTCTCAAAGAAATTGGTACATTTCCTCTTTCAAAGTCTCGGTGAAAGGAATACAGCTTCCTTCAATAACCTACTTGTTTTCAACTATTCTTGGATGAGATTACCTCCTCTGCCCCACCATGTAACTAACTAACTAGTTTTTCACTGAGAGTATTACTTGTCCTACCAACAAAAAGAATTCATTATGAAAGTACTGCTTTGTAAAAATACTGATGACTTGTGCATTCCCCAATTCCTCATCTTCTATTTTTTTTTTTCCCTTCTGTCTTCTCTTTTTGCAAGCAGAATTAACCTAAATCTATCAACCTTTTCTCACACAGCATACTCTCTAGAAATCCCTTGTTGCTGCTTCCTGGGTTCTTTACAACTTACCTAGGTTGTTCATCAGTATGAAACCCCAGACTCAATCTTTGTTCTAGCTTATGCTTTAACAGTATCCAATATTTACTCCCTTCTGCTTTTAATAGAGACTGTGAAACTTCCTATGTTCCAAAAAGACATCTGCATTTTTTGTAGCATGCTGCTGACTTGATCTGTTTTGGTCCACTACAACTTCCAACATCTATTCTGCTGAACAGATGCTCACTGAATTAGATCAAATTTTTTTTTGCCTAGGTCCTAGCTATAGCACTATACACTTGAAAGAGATTTAACCAAGTCGTATTATGAACAAGTTATACTGATGATTTTGAATCCTAATGCTCTACTTCACGCTGTTTGCAAGACATTTTGCCTAGGTATAATCTACATTAAGTATTGCTTCAGTTCCTTTATCCCAGGCCTCAATTACAACACCAAAGAGTATTGGGCAAGAGCTGCCTCCCTCATTTGACACATCTTCTATTGACAGTAACCATGAGTAATTACTCATGCCATCTTTCACATCTATTGACTGGTTGTATTGACAGATATTGAGAGGAAAATGGAACTAAACTGTTACTTGTGAGACTTTGCTTTTGTTTCTATTTTAGAATTGCTTTGAGAAAAACAAAACCAAACTCTAACATGTAACATGTAGAGAAGTGATATGCAAAACTCTCATTATTGTTCCATCTTTTGAGCAGTACAAACTTCATGAACCTTACACCCCTGAATTTCACAAATTGTCAAAACAGAATTGTTTACAGCCTTTGGTTAATTTTTAAAGCAACTTTAATTTGTAACCATGAATCCTATCCTCCCATTAAATTATGAAGCAAAGAACTTGCCCAAAACCAAATAGTGCCAAAATAATTCTCTACAGTACATACAAACTTAAATGACTCATTCAAGATGAAGAAAAAGGCATAAAATCAAAATCCTTTCAGCTTTTCACCCAAGAAGTGAAACCTTTATTGAGGAATTCTAATGTATCATTGTCAAACATTTAGACATTATTCCTTAAACTGGAGTCTCTCTAGGAAGCACTGAAAACAGTATAATTTTGGTGAATTTTAAGTAGTCAGACCCTCCAGATTTTCTCTGCCCTCGCTATTATTTTACCCATCATACCATGAAAGACACACCCCACATCCCCCCCCAAAAAACCCAAAACAAAACAGCAAATCAAAACCTGAATTACTTTGAGACTTGAGTCTACTGACAGTGGCAAGTTTTGACCCTCTATAGAGAGTCCTACCAGCTCAGAATATCTCACGGTTATTTAACCAGTACTTAATTCTGAGGTCACAACATTCATTCAGGATGACAATTTGTTCAGTTCAGGGAAAAATAACAAAATAAAAAACCCCACAAGGGAAAATCCCACAACCCTGAAATTAACTATTTGTTCTCCTATCAACAGCATCCCATAGACACAAGTTTTTGCTGGCACCTTAACAGCAAGCTTTCAATTAGACCCTGGGATTGACAATGCCTTTAAAATAAGGCACACATCAAGGTGGAAGTTGTTTAGCCTAATGAAGGAATGTAGACTAGACTTGCATAGCATCACCTAACAGTAGAAAGGCCTAACCATTAGAGTTTAAAAAAACCCCAAACAACAAACCTCACAAGAACACCTCCAGCAAATCTTCACAAGGGTAACCATAAAATGTCATAAACTTTCATTTATTATACTCTACATTACCTATGCAAGTTCAAACAGAATACAACCAAATACTCATATTTCACAATGGATGACATCATTCAGAATCAGATTTGCTATAAGAGGTTTGGGTTTTTTTTTTTTTCCAATTATCTTGTTTTTTCTGTTCCAAAAGTCAGAATTCCTAAACATACAGACAGTAAACATTACAATAAAGAGGTTGTCGTACCAATGTGGTCAGGGAATTTCTTTTCATATACAGTCTCTCCAAGTACTGCAGCCCCTCATCTTTCAGTAGCTCCAAAGGAAAGTGATGGAGATTTCGGTAATTTAAGAACAAGTTCTTGTGCCTTTCCAGCTTTGCCTCAGAGATTGTTTTACATAGTTCTGATGCCATGACTATTCCTCTTCCCAGCACCACATCTAGTGCATTGCATCTTCTGAAAGCAGACCCATTTCTAGGAGACAAAAAGAGGAAAAACACCCAAACCATTATCAAGGTGTATGCCATGCACTCTCTTGAGGAAATAGTTACTACTTATTACCTGATAATTTGTTTAAATACTCTTGTTCCAGTTAATATATAAAGTACCCAGAAGTTTTAGCATGTTTTTGGACCTGCAATAATAAGATCTTAACATATTGATAATGCTTTTTTTCATCCATTTTCCACAGAACTTTCAGAGAATTCTGTCAAAACTGCCACCACAAGAAAAAAACCCCACAACCTCTCTACTAATCATTACTAATGTCCTTCACCTATTCCCTGAAGTGTGCTAAAAGAAGAATCCACAGATCATAAGAAAAATGCACAGTTTATTAGAGCATTTATCTTCAGATGACTAAAATGCCTTAATGTAGCTTCTAATCAGAATGACAAATAGACAATGAAAGTTTGTTAAGCTTTCCCATATAAAAGCATTGGAAAAATTGATCAGTTGGAAGAGATATTGGGGAGGAAAAGGCAGTTAGGGCATTTAAAAATAATAAACCAAAATATGAGAAATGTGAAACTTTCAGCAAAAGAATTTATAAACAACTACATGTGAGAGCAGATTTTCAGCCGTCTTTCCTAAAAATAAAGCCAGAAAGAACTAAACGTCAAGCTCTAACTGATAATTTGAAGCCCAGAAAACAAAACTAAGACAACAAATTAAAAATTAATTTCTATCTGGAACCAGACTTAATTTAGATTGTTTTTCAGATATAACCAAAATACTAGTCATTATTATGTTGTCTAGGTTTAGATAACACTAGCAATGCTACACCTTTTCAATTGTCTCAGAAGTCAGGAGAATATAATAAATCCAAACTATTAATTTAAAGTTACCAGTTTGCTACACACTCATGGGTATAAATTAATTTCTATTAACCAAAGGCAAGGAATCATAACTGCTTTCCACCAATAACATTTTCTATTTTAGTTTAGTCCTTTACCGAAAAAGAGATTTCCAATCATAACAGATATTGGAAGTAAAGGTACTGAGTTACGAACAAGAATCCTATCTGATTATACACTATTTGTAAACACAACTCCTTATCCATCTGAAGACTGACAACTGGACCATACATATAAATCAAACTACTTTATCAGTTTCCGTAACTCCCTTGATTTGCGGATAAGCATCTTTTACCCTTGACCTAAGTCCTTCTAACAAAACACAACATTTATTTTCTTACAGTCCCATAAGCACTACTAATCACAACTCTGGAGTAATATCCTGCACATCTTTTCTAGTCTCAACTTATCCCCAATTCAATCCATGCCAAGGTCAGTTCTGCAAGTAAATTATTACCCCATTGAAAATCCTATATAAGATTAGAAACTATCAGTCCAACTTTGGTTAAACAGTACTCATATGAAAAGAAGTATCGCTCTAACAGTTGTCTTCATTAGCTGCCTTAAGAAAGGGTACACACACTGCTGGTCCTTGGCAGTAGCAACATTCAAGTTCCCTTAGTTCAGCAAATAAAGGAAATTAAGCCACTACAATTCCAAATTCCACCTATGTGATCAGCACTAAAATAATTAAAGCATTAGAATTTTTAATGTGCATAGACTGAGAGTATTTAAGCGTTAACTGATACAATGTAAGAAATGCTAAAAGAAAGCTAATCTTTCCCCGAAATATTTTTTTTTCAAATCACAAAACACATATGTAAGTATCCAATAGCCTGCCAGTTTGTCCAGAGGCACTTTTTAGGTGTGCTGCACTTGTGGACTTTTCCTCAGAGTTGTGACTCCATACGACAACTGGACCACGTTTAGCCATGGCACACACAAATACACAGACATTCAAGCCCATAAATGCAAAGTCCGGTCATAACCTACTCTACATTGGCTCTTACTTCAAAGGAAAGCCCTCCTACTCACTCTCATCACCAGCCAAACTTTTTTCTGTCTAAATACTTTTTTCCAGAGATGAGACACAGCACTACTGAAAAGGAATAAACACAATCATGGTCTTTAAGGAAAGATGAGGATAGATAATACGCAGTGATGATGGGCCTTTGCAGAGCCAGGTCACTAAGGGGAGAAAACTCCCATTTCACAGAGGATGGAGAAGACAGAAATAAGCCCACACTGAGCACACGAGACAGCGGAGGCTTAGGTAAAGGGCTGAGAAGAGGTGACAACAAGGAGGCTCAGGAGACCCCCAAGACCTGCCGGCCGACTCCAGCCGAGCGGAACTGCTCGAGGGTAACGCGCACACATGGGTGGATAAAAACCTGGAGGAGCCCCAGGACACAAGGTAACAAGACTATGAGGTGGGGCTGCACAGAGCCGCCCTGTTTGGTGCTCCTCAGGCCCTGGGGGAAAGCCGGTCTGCCACGGGTGGGTGCGGGTGAACCGGCCCGTCCCAGCCGTAGGAAGCGGGGGCTGCTGCAGGCGGAGGAAGAGGCGGGAGGCCGCTCCCGGGGCTGAAGCCGGAGAGGGGCCGGCAGGAAAGGGCCTCGGCCCGGGGGGCCGGCGAAGGCTCACACCCCCTCATGGAAAAGGCGCCATGCCCGCGCGGTGCAGCGGCCAGGCAACAGAGCAGCAAAGGCTCCCCACGCACACCCCCAAAACCCGATCCGCCCTATCTCACTCCCCCACGCCGGAGAAAGACTCACTCACCGGTGCCGGTGCCGCCAGAGCGGCGATCGGCCCCGCTCCGCTCGGTGCTGCCGGCCCAAGCACCCGGGGGCGGAGCGGGCCGCAAGCCGCGCGAGACCGCTGCCGCCACACAAATCTCGCGAGTCAGCGCTCGGCCTCGCCTCCCGCCCCAACACCGCCCCCCCTCACCCGCCTCTCACCCAATCACAAGGCACCCCGCCGCCCACCATCCAATCAGAAGTTCTCCCCCCGCCTAGTCTTGTACCGCCTCCCGTGCTCAGCCAATGGGAGGGCGCCCCACCTCAGCGCCTTGTCCGCCTCCTGCTGTGGCCTCGGGGGGGTGAGGAAGCGCCTTTTCCGCCCAGGGGGGTTTCTTGTCGCAATATGGTTTTCTTCCCAGGCGTTCGCACAGTTTCTGGTGTTAACATTTATCCCTGCTTAACGGCTTTTGAAGGAGAATGTAATTTGCAGATATAAGTTGTGGTAGCCAAAGTCCATCTTCCCTGCCAAATTTTGGTGCAACCAACACCACCTTTTTATTCTTCGTTACCAGCAAACTGAAGACCCTTAGGCAATTCTGCCTACACCCACAAGCTGCCCATCATGTCCATTTTTACCCATCATAGTTGGCCTGTTGAAACAGGTAAGTGAATTATGGAAGCTCAATTTACCTCCATGCTGTTCACCTGATTGTGATTTTACATACATTCACACACTCTAAGATGACCCAATACACAAATCCTATGCTGGGAAAGGTCTTGTTGGTGTTATGTCAGTACTCAAATGACAGCAAATTCCTCATACTCAGAATTTTTAACGTTACTGGGTATTAGAAGTTATTTTTTGTTGAAGATTAGCCCTACCAGCTGCCTCAAAAATGAATCCCAGCTGCATAAGTCCTCTTTATAGTTCCCACAGACTAATTAACATAAACTTGTCTTAACAAGATTCACTTAGCAGGTCTGCAAGGAAACCAAGAAGCTGAATGTAGGAGATGAATACCTTCCAGAAGTCATTTCTTCTCTCCTATACATTCACATAACTTTTACTTGAGGCAAAGCAACATGCAGAAAAAGCTTAAGATTTTTTTCTTGCAGACTCATTTCCCTCTTTTTCATTTCTAAATAAAGAATAGCAATCCTTAATTACTCATTTGTCATTTTCCTACACTTGAGGCAATAATTGATTTTGACAAGTATACTTGCTCAGTCTTACTTGCCACTTGCAGTCTTTTTGGAGTTGTTTTTTCAGATAAATAGATTTTCTTGAAATAATTTGAGATTAAATAATTTACCCTTCAAAATTCGACATCTTCCATATTTATCATATACTGCACACATTATTTCTTACTGTGGTTGATAGTACTTGTCTGTTTTTCTCAGCAGGATGTTAAATTCCAGGAAGTGGCTTGCTTGTATACCACCATGGTTTTAAAAACAGCAATTACGTCACACTTCTTAATGTCACTTTAGTCCCACATTATAAATATCTGAGAAATTAAAAGTTAAGCATACTTTAGACTAAAGTAGAAGCTGAATATAAGCACAGTTAGCAACACATTCCTCAGAGGGAATTCAGTGATGTGTCAAACCAAATGTTCTTCTCCAGGATATTAAGTCATTGATCAAGACAGAAACTTCCTTCCACTAAAGTACAGACAGGAAAGATGAAGGTTTTTTCTTGGGAGACATGCTCTTAACAGAGCCAGTATACTTAATGTGTTTACCCATATGTTGTAATGGTTTGGGGTTTTTTGGTTGGTATTTTTTTGAGACAGGGAGGAGATAAGGTTACTGCACTCTCTTGAAAGCAAACTTTTGTCTGTTTCTTTTCTGCTCACAGCAACAAATGGTCTAAAGAGATCAAAGCAGTGCTAAAATGGCTTTGCTTCTTCTCTGTCATGGAAACAAATTCAGCTCTCAGGATGTGCCTTCAGTGATTATAAAACACATTATACACATGGATTCAACACAAACTGCAGGAGCAGTTTAGGATCACTGACACTATTAAAGATGTTAATAATATATATAAAGTACTGGGAGTGTCAGTATTTCAGTGGCAAGTTTTAAAACTAAGTATTTGAAAGAGTATTTTTTAAATCTCTTTTCTGGGAAGGTTCCTACTAGCAGTATTCAAAATGTGTTCTCTCTACTTATAATACAGTAATGTATATGATTCCTTCCACACTATTTTTCAGAAGTGTCTGTAGAGTGAGAGGAGCTGTTCTTTGCCAAGACAAACAAACATCCTCACCTACCTCAACTATATTACATTTTTCTTGATTGTTCCAGAGCTGTGTTCAGGTTCATATCAGCTATATCGAGGTAAGTGCCAGTTACCTTGTAGCTTTATGCTATCCACAAGAATTTCTAATATGATTTTAGTATTTACACGTCACTTTACCTTGTGTCTTGCCTCCTGAAGTAGTCACTCAGGATTCTCTCTCTATTGTCCTGCGTAGCCTGCAATCATCACATTCATTCATTCTCACGTCTGATTTTTTTTTCCCCTTGACCAATGCCATCGTGATCTCCTAGGCTTGTGTCATCAAATTCTGTGCAGTGCCTCTAAAAAGCACTGCTCACTCAGATCGGAAAGCTGATCTTTGAAGCTCTGATCCTGCACAGCACAGGTGTACAGTCTTGCCTGTGTAGTCACAAGGCTAAAAATGATGAGCAGAGCAGGGGCCGCTGGAATCTGATCTTCCATTAAGGATAGTGCTTGACTCATGGTTGCCAAGTCATTTTCATCTAACAAGTGAGACTAGTGGGCTACCCTTTGCTAAGTAGATTTTTACTGTTTCTTTAGTTTAATTTTAATTTTGTGCTCGTGAGAGCAAGGAACAGAAGGGCTTGAAATTTACATTGTGCTCAGAAGGATGACCGATCTTATCTGTGCCTACATAAACTCATAAAACTTATTTTGAAGTGTAGCTTTGAAGACATTGATCTATTTAAGTAGTTTGCAGGTGCCAGTGTATTGAAGACCCACCTTCATCAGCTGGTTTATTGGAACAAATCCAGTAACTGCATTGCTCCAGTAACTTCAGCAAATGGGCACAGCTTCACTGGTGATCCATTGTTCATGCCAAACCTATATAAGCCAGATGAATGTAGTGTGAATAAAAAGAGATGATGATACATTATCTGGTTTATTACACAAAGTAACTATTTGAGACTAACAAATTTGAGAAGATGCAGTTGGAAATATCTGTATAGTAAAGCTGTATGCAACCATTTTCTTTTGTTTTTCCAAGTGAAACATGAAGTTATTTTTATTGAGGTTTTTGTGACAAGATTGCTAGCTCTTGATTTCACAGAACTAGTAAATCCAGAATGTTTTATTGATCTTTAGAATTTGAATTCTGAACACTCTGAAGTTTAGACTCCTTAATAATCCTGGGTGAGTCTTTTCCGGCCAGTACTGTGGATACCACTTATATTCAATCATGCACATTAAATTAGACTTTGTAAGTTTGGATTATGATCAAAATATATCACTGAGCAATTAAAGGTCAATTTTTAGCAGAAGAAAACTTTAGTGTGACTGATGTATGACAGGAAAAGTGTGTTTCTCCTTTAAGGTTGGATAATTACCAAATATTTTTAATCTTTTGTCATTAGTTTAACTAGCAGTACAAGATGGGCTTTCCTGGACATCACTGCATTCTGAGAAATACAATGAAGCAAAAATCACTAAACACTAAGTTCATGCAGTTATACCTGGTGCAGAGAGGTCTTTTGGGTTGGAGGAATCTTCTAGGCACAAGGAATCAGCAGATCAATCTAGTGATCAACAAATGCGATTCTAGCTTTCTTTAGGTTCTGCTTGCTGAAGGGTTGGTGTGTATTAGAGTGTCAGCATATGACATGTACAAGCCTGGAAAGTGGCAGTAACCCAGTAGACTGTCTGGTACATCTGCCAGGTCTCATAGGCCAGTGAACTACTTTTCCATGGTCAGACAGGAGAAGAATCTACTTAACACGTGCTTGGGATGTTTGAAATGGTGTAGGAAAATGGCAAAGCTCTCCTTTACACGGCAGGATTCCAGTATGGGGGCTCAGTGATTTGTGCTGTCCTTTTGTCTTCTGCTTATTCCTAGAAAATGTACATTGCTTAGAATTTTGAAAGTTCTTATGCAGTTGAGTAGACAATTTAATTTTTATGCTCTTGCAGACACTGAGAGTGGCTTTGTCCCTCATCTGTGAGGACTAGTGACTTACATTTTTCTTCTAACAAGAGCCGAGGGCTTGTGTCATCACCAGGTTCTCTGAATTGAGACTTTATGAAGCATACTTTCCTACTTTATGGGAGAGACATTATATGCTACGGTGTGATTGTCACTACTAAGAATTTTTTCAGTTTGCATTCTTTCTTCCAGAATTTAAAATCTATTAATTCTATTTGCCCTTGTTTTCACTTTACAATGTCTTACATAATGCATTTTTCAGTATATACAGCTTTCATATACACAACAAGATCTCTGTTGGTATACATTTTGAGAATTTAGGATCTGTTCTTTCCATATGAGGGTTTTTTGCATTACACATAGACTCATTGATTTGTTTCTCATACCAGGAAGAAATAAATTCCAAAATGTACTGGTTTTACTGATGGAGAAAGAATCCATTCTTGAGAAAATCCTGGCTCTTCATAGGAGGGCTTTCCTAACTTCCAGTTAGTAATTTTGGCATAGTGACAGAGCTGTCTTATTTGAGTGGAATAAAGTTCTAGTAACTCATCACAGTACTGCCAGCTTTGATTCCATAAAACTTTTACTTAACTCTGGTTTCTGAAGCAGTACCAAGAAGTGGAAGGCAGATGGAGCTCCTGCATGCCAAGTGCCAGTATGCCAATATTTAATGGTTAGACGTGATCCACCTTTGGCTTAAGTGTTTTTATTTTCAGTTTATTTGTTATTGGTTTTGGTTAACTAACTCCTTTTTAAATGGCACAGTAATGCTAATGAAGAAGCTAATTTGAAAGTTACTGCCTGGTATGGTTCAAATCAGCATTGCTCAAAATAGAAGCTTTTAAAACAGTCTATCATTAATGTGGGCTGAATTAATTTCTGAGGGAAATTTCCTGGTAATCACATTGATTATGATGTGGAATAGATTTCCTAAGAAGTAATGGAAAGTACTAGTAATTTGGACAAACTGCAGTTTGAATGGAACAACCCTAACACAGAATAAGTGAGCAGTGGATTTTGGCCCTGATCATGTGCTTTCTGTTCATTCTAAATTCCTACCGATCTAATTAATGTCAATTGGAAAAAGAACAATGCCTCACTGACTGCCCCAGAAACCAAATTCCTCTGTTAATGTGCTAAGCAAATATAACAATAGGCAGAAACGACATTTCTGCCTCTGCTCCATCGGGAAATCTCAATATGGCATCACCACAAAGGTAACAAATCAGCTAGCTCTCCCTGGCTTATTCAGTTGTTAGTCCTTCTTTATGACTGCTAAAGGTGCATGTAGCTGATATGGAGATGTTTTGTGTTACCTCTTGTTGACAAGATAATCAAGGCTGTCAAATTAATCTCAATTCACCAAGTATTAGTTTTCAATTTATCAACATTGCTGTATGTCACAACTGCATTAATGAATAAAATTTTGTTTATCTTTTGGAATTCCCTTATGAAACTATTTAAACTTAACTAATTTGGTTCAATTAAATCCACTTAGAATATTATCTCCAGTTTTTCTTCACTTTAAACCAGAAAAGTAGTACAACTTAAATAACAAATTTAGGCAACACTTGAATGTTTATTAGTTTCAGGCAGCAAATAACATGAAATGTTCTTTGGTCTATTTTTAGATGACCTCAATAATATTATTTTTCACTACCACCCTCTGCTGTCATTGAGGCTGTATGGTGGTTATTTCTCCATCTTTCTGCCTGGCCCAAGATCTGCTTTCTTTTCATCCTCATTGCACTTCCCTTCAGTTCAACCCCCAGATTTGCTGAATTTGCAATAATGGCTAAAAGATTCCTGATTGTTTCTAATGATTCATTGGATCCAGTCAGACCAAAAGTTGTTATTCATTCACCTGAAAACAGTGGTTTTAAGCTTATTCTGAAGCTGTCCCTATTTCCAGGTATCAAATTTACTCCAGTTCTTTAATCTGATATGACTGTTGTTGCCTGTCACGTTCTTTCTCCTCTTAGCCATTTATTTTTCTGAGGGAGAAGTCCCATGCTCTTCTGTGTGTCAGAACAAAGTTGTATTTTGTAGAGAGACTTCATATGGTCAGTAAAGCTCCATTGTTCCTATAAATTTACATTAAAACTTTGTTAACACATTAAATGTTTATCCTCTTGTCCACACAGTTCCATAATTTTAGTATATGTAAACTTAAAATGGAAGTGTGTTGCATTTGTTTTTTAGTGACAATACACATACTTGAAACAACATGTTTTCATGTATTTATGAGAACTTTGTATTTTTTGTGGAAAAGTTCCAGGTGAGGTGCCAAATATCTTGGTTGTGTAAGAGTGACCGTTTTTGTCATTTTATTCTGCCATTCATATCAGAAGGGTGTTAATGCTGTGGCCTGTTACATTATGATAGAAAGGAGGCAGGTGGTGAGCTATTTTTCATTCCCAGTAAATATAAATAGTGAAGGGGGGAAGCATGGTGTATACACAGCTCTTTGATTTATGCAAGCATATTGTGGAACCTGTTACAGTGAAGTCAGATATAGAAATCTTCTGTTCCTGAGACCAGTGGGAGATTTGCTTTTAGAGAGCTTGCAGTGTTTCTGCTTTTCACATAAGCCACCCGTCTGGTTACAGCTGGGGTCTGACCTTTATTTCTATTGAACACACAAGGAATAGTTTAAATATATGCCTGGATGTTCCATATGTTGGGGAGACACTCAACAGACTTCTTCCTGTTAAATGCAAAATTTTTAGTTTGCTAGTGCAAACCAGACAAGTCCAAGATACTTGTTTTCTTGTTATGCTCTGTGTATCCTATCAGAAATTTTTCATGTGAATTCCTGAGGACTTCGTTGCTGAGAAGTCTAACAGTCAAAATTTGAGCTAACACAGGTAACAAAATTCAAGACATAATTGGGTTTGAGGAGACTCTTAGGTAGTGGTCAATTACTGGTCTTGCAATAGTGACTGCTTAACATACGTACTTTTTTTGAGTCCTTACCTCCTTCCTGGTTTTGTCACATTCGCAATACAACGTTGATAAAGGCCTTTCCAGATTATAAAATCATGGCATAATACTAGCTAACAGGTCCCATTTTTCTTGATGGAAGGAATGTTTCGGACAATACGGTATTGTGTCTGGCACCAGCTCTGCTCCTTGGGAACTATTCCAGACCACATGTCTGTAGCAGGTTAAGATGTTCTGTCTGACAAAAGGAGCTAATTTAGCCTCCATTCAAAATCAGAAATGGAGACTCAGAGTAACTTCAACTGACTATAACTAGACCCTCACACTGAAACTATTTTTAATTTTTTACCAATGACATAGGAAAAAGGGTTGTGCCTTTTAGTCTCTTCCAGGGATTAATACCCCATAATTCTGGGACAGTGAAGTAATTAGGTCTGTTAAACCCTTTTAGTGACCTAGTGCTTTTAGCACTGAAGTCATGTTCAATGAGTTCAAGTTTCTTAAATACACATTGATATACTTAGAACAGTTATCCTCTAGTGAGTTATAACAGTAACCCATGGATACAGAGCTACAAATTAGAGATAGCGCTACCAATACAGATTACCAAAGAAGCACAGCTGCAACTTTATTATAATATTTGAATTCCTTTTATTTCATTGGAGGAAAATAATAAACTAAATAAAGATCTGAGTTTACCAATACATTTATAAATACAAATATTTTAGAGCTTATATTGGTTATGTGTATGTTTCTAATATCATTATCAAATGTGTGGTAAAAATCTCTAAAAGATTTTTTAGTCTTTACATTAATCAAATAACCTTTTTTGTACTCAGTACCTTAAACACACAAGCATTCAATAATCTTGTTGTATGTGAACAGGACTATGCCCTACATTAAAGACTAATCACAGCTGTAAATGTTTTGAAGAATCGAGATGTAAAGAGACATAATTTTGACTGAATTCTAACTTGAGGAATTTGGTATTGGTAGGCAAAGGAAAGACAGCTTCAGGTCACACATATGCACCACAGCAGGGACTATTCCACCCAAAACTTGGCACAGCACGTAAAAATGCTACTGTTAATCCCTCCATAGAAAGTGCAGTGAAAGATGTGTATCTCAGAATCTGTTTATGTTTTGGTCACCTTCTTATAGTTTCTAGGACTGATCACATACCAGTGAACACCTCAAAACTGCTACAGCTTCATTCATTATTTTGGCACTGTTGAAGATCTGTTCATTTCATGTTTCCCTCTAGTATTCTTTTGGGATACAAAACTTCCAAGGTGATGTCATTACTATTTTATTTTATTTTATTTTATTTTATTTTATTTTATTTTATTTTATTTTATTTTATTTTATTTTATTTTATTTTATTTTTATGTACTGTTACTACTATATGACTTCAACATTCTACTCAACAAACAAAGGGACTATTCATTTAATCATATACTCTTTTGGCAAGTTCCAATTACTTTATGGGAACAATACTAGAAAATTACCTTTTTTTGTTTTTTTTCTTTGCCTATGTAAAGGACAGCTGACCAAGTTCTGCAGGCTAACATAATCTAGGAAAAGAAAGCAAAAATCAGGAAAAGCAGAAGTTAAAGAAGCATAGTCTTGCTCTAGATTTATCAGTTCTCTTAATGTTCTCTTATAGTTCCTGAACACTTTGAGCAGGCTGCTAAATAGCCATCTAACAGGAATTCTACTGCTAAGCTATAGACACAGGACTTTGCAGAGAAGTAGTTCATTAAAATAGACAATCTCCACACTTCTGTTTATATTTTAGAGAAAATTCATAAATAAGGGGAATTAGGGTAGTGAGAAACCTGATCTAACCTTGAAAGTAGTTCTGCTCTGAGTAGAGGTTGTGGGCCAGTTGGCCTCCTGACTTCCCTTGTGGGGATAGTGCTTTTGCTGCTGTTATAGTTAATGCAATCATTGCTATAGCATTAATCAATCCTTGTTATAGACTGGGCAAAACAACTTTGCACTGCGTAGATGTGGCAGTTAAAAGACCTTTCAGGCTTTCCCTCTCTGGTCTTCCAGCCTGGGCAAGGACCTTTCCTTGTTTGAAACATCAAATGGTACCCCTGGCAAAAAGTTTTCTTCCAGTCCCATTATTGTGTGGGTCTGTGGGTTGTCAAACTTACCACACTGCTATCAGGGGGGAAAAAAAAAGAAGTGAAAAAAAAAGTTAATATTTTACATTTAATATTTTACATTTAAATTTATTTAGATTTTTAACAACATGGTACATCTACACCAAAGGATAAATTTATACCAGAACTGATTTTTGTGTTTTATATTTTTGAAAAATGGGCATTCTCTGTGTATATCCTATCCTTAGACAGGATACCCTTAGAGATGACTAATAAATAATGTCATTCCTGATGTCCCCAGATTTTACTCTGGAATAAAACATGACAAATGTTTTAAAATGTACATCTTTTACAATATACAGGAAAATACAGGGAAGGATGGAAGAGCTAGAAAACAAAGAATAATAACGTAGTCTCCTGCTGAATGTAGCCATAACTGAGATTGGTAATTAGATAGAGTAGAAGTAATGTTTTCCCCCATGTCATAATTTTGGCCTGAATAACTACTACTGCCATTGTTCTTGTGAAAGATCTGTCTCTTGGGGTGGTACTGTGACTAAGGTAGTAATTGTAGCTATTCCACATGCTAAAGATAGCAATTTGGGTAGTATATTGCTAATACCTAGTTTTGTATCAGCTCAGAGAGACAGTGCTACCTATCTCAAGTAGGCCATTTGTTTGCTTAGTCTTTTTCTGTGTTAACAGTTTAGTTTGAGTGAAAGCAATTCAAGGTGATCTCCTGCCTCTCCCTCCAGAAGTGTGCTATACTGGCAATTTAAAGTGACTGCCTTTGCTCGGTGGAGCCTTATCAGATAAAGCTCAGTACCTTTTTAAAACCAGATTGCTAATGCGTTTCTTAATCCAGCAGAAGTGCAAAGAATGCATATATTTTAGATGAAACCTGTTTTGGTTTGGATTTTGTTGTTGTTTTATCCTATATCCATTATATCTAAACAGCTATGACTTTTTTTTTTGGGGGGGGGAAATAATTTCCTTATTTTAGTTTGAGATAGCCAGTGTGATGAAAAGTAGATCAGTCTGGATTTGGAAAACAGGTGGATAAATGCACCATGGTTGGGCCTCTAATTTATGTTAAAAAATCAGTCCAAATGGTCTTAATATACCCTTCAGTAAGTGGAGAAAGAGAAGAAACTGATAGCATGTTGTGATATTATGAAATGGAGAAGCGTGCTTCCATGGAAGATTTATGTGGTACAGTATGTCAGCATTTAACAGCATCTGCCAAGTTTTTATGGGTAGATGATAGGATAAGTTTTATTTTGCTGAAGAGGGGGCTCATCTGTCAATGACTTGGCTATCCCTGATGTAGAGAAAACTGTGTCAGTGAAGCAAATAATTTTTTCCGACTTCCATTTGCAGGTGTTCCCTCCCTGACCCCTTCACCACACATACATGATTTTCAAGGCAATACAGGGTGAATGGCAAATTCTTTGTGTTTGAAAAATATCCTTTTTCTTCAGTTCCTTAGGGGAAGGACTGTACTGAAACAACATGAAACAACTACTAAAGATACTTTTCCTTGACTGAAAGACCAAGTCAAAGATCAATGCACAACAGCAATATTGAAAGATAAGAGCAAAAAGGGAAAGGAGCAAAGTTAAGTAGATAAAAGCATCACAGCATAAGTGCTTAGTTGAGTCACAGTGTTCTGATCTCTGCTGCTGTCACAGAGTGTTTGAGTTTGTTGAATACCTGATAGAAAAAGAGTCCAAAACCCACAGAAGGTGTAGCATGTAAAGGAGAATTTCCTTGTTCAGTAAGGATGGAAGTTACACCACGATAGACGGCCTTGTTCAGACAGAAGCACCATCTTCCAGAGAACTAGCAAGGAGCATTTGTTGTAAGGTGCTCTGCTGAATTTAGTATGGCTCCATGTTAAGATACATAAGTACATTCCTTCCCCTTCTTCAAGGAGATAGTTGTATTTAGTCTTATTTTATAAATTTTTTTTAACAAGATTTTAGAGCTTCATTTTCAGTCTTTGTTGTGAATTTTAACACAATATTCTCGAGCACGGTTGAACTGATTAGTTTCAATACTGGAAGAAGAGTGGTTTTGCACAGTTTTTATACTAGTTTAAAATTACTTCTGAATCTGACAGATTTAGAAGGTGTACTGGGCCTGGCTGAAATATTTTTCTTTGTAGCAGCTCAAAATGTGCTGTGTTTTAGGATTGTGACCAAGACAATACTGGTAGCACACTAATGTTTTAGCTATTGCTAAACAGTGTTTGCGTAGCACCAAGGCCTCTCTGTTCCTCACTCTGCCCCCCTAGTTGTTACTTCCACCACGGTAAGCAAATGACACTTGCCTTGGCAGGTTCAGGGCAGCGTGATGGAACCAATCTGCAAGGCCTCCCGCTATGGATACCACAGTCACAGTCCTTTATACCAGAGAGGCTTTACTTACTTGCCTTGTTTGTTTATGGTGTGTTTCACAATCACTAATAAGATGTACAATGGCTTTCTCTCTTCTTCCACTTCTCCTTCCTTTATTAAGCAATTTTTAACTTAACTCCCAAATTTTCTTGCTCTTACTTTTCCCTTCCTCTTCCCCCATCCCACTGGGGGGAGGGCTGCACGGTGCTTAGTTGCATACAGGGCTTAACCCACAACAGAAGGTCTGTAATAATTAAAAATGATCACTGCCATTCATGTTGCCGATTTAAATTTTTCAAAATACTGCTGAGGTTTGTTTTTGGTTATTTTAATACATACACTTTCCTGTGAATGACAGTAACTCAGGTATGTAAGAAAGAAGGAATTAGCTATTTTCCCCTCTATTAAACATTTCAGTGACTTACAAAGTAAGTGGGCTTATTTATGTCTCATAAATGACATGACTATTTAGTTAATTCAGCAAGTTGCTAACTGTAGACTAAGGCCCTTTTCTGCAGACTGGAAGCTGATTCATATGAGTAACGAATGTATTTAGTAGCGAAATGTCTGATACAGAGTCATCTGAAGGTGATGAGATAAACGATGGTAGTATGCACAGTTCCCTCAGAAAAGATCTTACTACTGATTTATTTTTTTCTTATTCCACAGGAAACAATCATATTTGTGTCAACAAGTCAAATATTTTAACTTTTTGAATTTCTTATTTCATTTTGCATTGTACTTTTGATGGAATGTTTTTTTCCCAGGGCACCTTGGCAGTTTTCTGTGCTGTGTATTACTCTGTGCCCTCCCTCTGTCTAATCCACAGCTTTTATGAGCAGTATCTAAATTACCAGATGGAGCTATAGTGAGAGACTTGAAGTAACATGAACAGCTACTTTGTGACAGGTCATAAAATAATGATAAGGCTTAGCTTTGTGTAACATCAAACTAACCATAAGTTTCAGTAAATTGCTGGACAACTTTGCTGGAGCTGAAAAACATTGATCTCTGGGGTAGCACCATCAATGTTTTCCATCTTAACTAACGTCTGTTTAAGGATGCTTCCACAACTAGCATGTTGTCCTATTATTTTTTTTTTATTTTATTTTATTGGATTTTTCAGTTTTATCCTTCCACCTTAAATTCTGTCTGTGGCACAGAACTCAGCAATATGCAAATATTGCAAGAAGAACATTGCAATGCTACTCAAAAGCTAATAGTATTTCCCTATGCTTTTATTTATACAAAGCTAGAATAGGGGAGGATCTTTTTGCAAAAAAGACATTACTCAGTAAAACTGAAATTCAGCTCAATGCAGGGAACTCTGCAGTTTGCTTCATAATACTGCATTCCACATTACAGCTCTAAATGCAATAACATGAAATGTCCAGGGGGTTGTACAGACTCTCATCTCTGGAAGTTCAGTGTGAGCAAACTCCAGTCAATGTTAGAGCAAGTAGGAAACTATGCTTGTTTACTAGGAATTGGCATCAAGAAGGAACCAAGGTAAAATAGGGATTTTGCAAAACTGAGTAAATTGTTTTAAAATATTTCTAATACTTTTAAGCAGACAGAGATAGTATGTGATAGACATAGACTCATAGATAAAGATAGGTCCATATCCTTTAACCTTCCTACATGGACTAGCTATTGAGTTCAGGCAGATCAGTTAAATGCAATGCGTGGGGAGGAGATTGTATTTCCACAGAATAATTTATGCTAATTATTTAATTGGTTTATAAACATGTTGGTAGCAAAGTAGTTTCATGCATATTTTAAAAGGCTATTTCAAGTGACCAGAGGCAGGAAGGCCATGAGAGATTTGTGGATGGAAAGTTTATAAAAGAAAAATAAATGGGAGGGAATAAAACTCCTTTCCAGCAGTATTTGACTTTTCCAATCCATGTGATAGACATAAGTAAACTTTTAGCAATTTGTTCATGACACTTAATCATGCTCCCCACTGTTTTCAGATCCCTTGGACTTTTCTGCTTTCCAATCCCTCAATGAAGAGATAAATTATCTTCAAAAGGCTTAAATATTAAGTCCAATGAAATTACAGAAAAAGAAATACGCACTAATCAGAAAAGCAAATTTACTATCATATCTAAGTTTACACTAATCCTACCAGTATTTTAGGAAACAAACCATTTTATTTCCCTTGTGCTTTTCTGTGTATTTGCATTCTCATTTTGACTTAGCAGTTAGATTATTAGGAGTTTTGCTTTCTTACTTCAAGAATTTAGGAAGAAACATGGCAACATCTATCAAGCAAAAAAAATCTAATTTTTTGCTGAGCATTGCAGCAAAGAGCTTTGATTATGTCAGGATACTGTAGGCTTGATTCAGCCCCAACGTTATGGTGAATAGAATGGCAACATCTGTGTTCTCATTTTTCATACCTAATATTCTATTGAAGACTAGAGCTTTCCTGTAGGCTTTTTTTTTTTTTTTCCAGCTGGAGCTGTCCACTCATCAGGTAGCACCATACCCATTCAGCTTCTGTTCCATTCCAGTGTATCTACCATTGGTTCTATCTGCATTATACATTAGCTCTTTCTGATGGCTCTCTATAGCTCTAGCTACTAGCATCCACACTATCCTTAGGTATAGGGCTTGGGTACAAGTCTTCCTTCATGTCTAACACTCCCTGGAGAGGCAGGAAGGAACCCATATATAGCCAGTGTGGTGATCAAGGTTTGGGCTCCAGGCTAACGTATCAATGTAGATAAACCCTGAGTTAGCCCTGTATCACTGCTGGGACTGTACAGCTGCACTGAATCTCTAGTGGGGGGACAGTGATAAACATTTTTAAATGGCATACAATCCGAAGTAAAATTCACCAGTGCAACTGATAAAGTTAGCAATATTTGATGACTACAATACCATATAAATTCCAGTTACAGATTACTAGTCAGTTCTTTTTCCAGCAAACTGCAACTGTACATGGAAATTGTCCACTTGAGATTTTTAAGTGCTTTAATTTCCTGGAGCTATTTACAATTCTTAGAGCCCACAGAGAGAACTTCCTTAAAAGGGTAAGAAAAGCCACTGCTCTTATTACAGCCAGAAAAGTTTCTACAATCAGTTCATCCTTCTATTGTTAGATTGGTTGAAGAAAGTGGGTGAAAAAATTAAAATGATTTAAACTGTGTCCTGAAGCACAGAAGTCCTGTGAAGAATCATTCCCAGAGGTGAAAACTTTCTGCAAAGACTTTTATTGTCAATTTCAAGACAGTCAGTTATAGATGACATTAAAAGGAATGTCCTGACTTTCTTAATTAACGTTGCTGATGAGAGAGCATCACACAGGTAAACCAGCTCTCAGAACATTCAGAGCTTATGAAATTGTAATTGAATTGCACTGAAAGCAAATTGATAGTGCACATTTAGGTAGAATATGTTGGCAACTTTATCCATCCTAAGTTCCAGTTCAATTCAAAACAAGTTTTAATGCTTATATATGCTTATAGTGACTGTCTGTTCTTCATGCAAGAAGGGCATAGATGTCCATTCTGAGGTCACTTATCGAGGTTGTCATGTAATCACTATGACTGTTTTTATTAGACATCTTAATACTCCAAAGACATACAGACTACAAATAATCATCTGCCCTAAGCCTTTAGAATATAAGTATGTTTTCTCCCAGTTCCAAGTTTTACAGCTGTATTGGGTAGTTGTTCATATACTGGTTTAAATGACTGCAGAAACAGCTATATCAGACAAATTTTGTTATTTTTTTTCCATTACAACTCTTCTGGATGCACAGTTGATTTGGAAAGAAGTCAATGGATTACAGTCTTGTACTTATTTTCTACTGTGCTGGCCTGCAAAATGATGGTAACCTGAGGTAGAGTAGCCTTACCAAGGGTGGCCAGTGTCAGCTGGTGTCAGACTTCTATAACAACACTTCTCCCCAGCACTGAAAAGCATTCAAGACATTTGCCTTTTGTTTATAGCTCTTTCCATAAATGATATTAATCTGAAGTAGCTTGTCAGGCAAAGAGTACTTCAGTGTAAACCTCCAAAGGGTAATATCAGAAACAGAGCTGCACGGAGGCAGCCTTGTTTGGAGTTGTTTCCCTCTTTGCTTTTCAATGCTTGAGCCCTTTCCAGGCTGTGTTCTTTAAAGAGCATTTAAATACAGAGTCTGCACAACACAGCAGGCACCAGGCAGAGAGACATTTCTTTAACTCTGCTGTTCAACCCCAGGTTGCGATTGTCACAGTTCAGTACAAGGCTAATTGTACTGAATTTCAATAGCAGATTTGGTCTATGTTCACAGTTATTTTGGAATCAGTTCTATTTACTGTAAACTATCCCTATTTATATTTCATGCCTATATGTGTCATCGCTTATGCTGTACAAAACACATTAGTACTTTCCTTACAATTTATTATATAAAATTATGGTATCACAATTTTATGGCACCTTTGCTATGATGATCTAAAAACATTTCATAAATACTTATATGCCTCATTAAGCCTGTTTGTTTTTAAAACTCATTTGAGAGATGATTAAACTGAGATTCAGAATACTCATGTCATTTTGCTAAAAATGCTCTTAATAAGTAAATGAAGATGTGGGAATACAACGCAAATTCTTGTTCACACTTCTCTGCAGAAGTATCATTGTAGAATACTAGTCTGATGCAATGATCAGAGGTTTAACATGGATCATGTTCAATGCCATTGGGTTTCAACATTTAATCTCTACTATAAGAAGTCAAACATGAAAACACAAGTTTTTAAATGAGAAACAGCTATAATGAATTACTTGCTTGTCCCTCAATCAACAAGAATATAGTGTTTTCATAGGAAGTGCTTATATCCTCTCCAAATCAAACCAGCTCAGTAGTTTTGACACTATGGCAGCTTCACTTTCAGAATATGTATCTTGCATGTTCACTTAATAAAATATTATCCCAGTCTTGAAGTCCTATATTTGCCATTTTGTTGAAAAAAAATAGATGTAGATATAAATTTTTTTGCATAACTGGATAATGAGCTAATAATGTCATTTTAGCACAAACCAACTGTCTATCACTAGGATTTTAGTTCAGAGATGTTCAATGTCCAAATCAGTCAAACTGAATTTAATAGACATCTAACTCCTTCAGGCCTGCTTGGAAAATGTCAGCCTAAAATAGCATGTGCTTGAGTACAACAAACTAGAAAGGCACTTCTGATGTATATATTTGTATGTACAAACAGGCGTCACAGAGTATATCAGAATAGCAACTAACCTCTTCTTCACAGAGCTGAATTGCCATTCACAGAATTAAGATAACCAACAGGAGTTGCAGTAGTAATACTTCCTTCCGCTTGTATAGTGCCTGAATAAAACGAGAGAAAGAGCTCCTTAACTTCACCAGGTAGTGACTAGTGATGGTAGGAAAGACTAAAATAGCTACCACTGAGGTACCAGTTACAGACTGGCCCAAATGCCAGGGGTTTAGAAAGTGAGCTAATGCTCTAAACAGGACTATATATATTGGTTAGCTTCTGAGCCAAGAACAGAATTTAATGCTACTCAGTAACATGAACACAGCAGTAAGAATTCAATTACTTGCTTTTCAACAGGACCAAGTTAAATGTTTCTAGGCTTCATTTTCAATTAGGAAAATAGGGTATCAGAGATACATGCACAAATAATTTAGTTTTGTTTGTAATTCAACAAATGACATGCAGAAGTTACACATACCTCTTTCAAACTGTACAAGATCACTCATTATCTGCTGCCCTAAACCTTCCCAGCAAGCAAGTGAAAAGCTCGTCTAAAGTGTGCTGAAAGGTAAATAAAGCATTTAACATACCAGAAAAAAACGTAACATACCCACAATTCTGAGGGCACAGGGACAGCACAGCAGAAAGAAAAAATCCTGAAGCATGTTCTTTAACGGGGCAATTGTTGAGCGAAAACTCCAAGTATTTATATGTGGAAAAGTTCTCTGATTCTTTCACTTAACAGAAAGTAATCAATAACTGTTTTCTCATCATAAACTCATTTTAAAGCATGACAAAAACATTCTAGTAGAAATAAAGAATTCTGCATTACCTTGAACTAATGAAATGATTCAATACTCAGAAGTTATTAAATAATTTTTAGCTTGTTCCCTTACTGTTTACTTACAGATTTATGATTAAAAGCTAAACCTGTGGAATTCCTGTTTCCATTGAAATAGGTAATTTGTACCATTCATACTGGGGAACGGTGAATTGCTTTGTTTTTCAGTTAGAAAGAAATACAATATATTTCAGTCAGATTCCCAGCAAAGCTGGTTAAAAACAGCATTTGAATTAACAATTCAAGTATAAATTTACAATTCAATTAAACTTCAAATAAAAATCAAAGTAAAATTAGAAACTATATTATTGGAATTGGATTTTTTTTTTTTTTTACTACACGTTTGTTGAAAATTTGGAAAAAACCCTCTTTTAGCATTACAGATGTATTCTGTGGTATCTTTGACAATTACCACTGGATGCATTTGTATACGATACAAGAAACTGCATTTAGCTTTTGTTTAGGTGGCTGGAAGATACTTCCAGAATGATTCTTGTTTTATTTGCAGTGCCTTGATACGAGTTTGCTCACATATTGGTGCTGTTAGTAATCTCACGTGCTGATGAAAGTAGAAGGCAGTGGATTACTTCCGGCTTACTGTGTATTGCCATGAACAAGAGGAGGTTCTTTAATATCTTGAATATATTGTGCAGATTTTCAGTGTGCTAGGAGAGCACTTAAACAGTGGAGAATTTTCATAATGATGTATTTGATTAGATAGCCGCAATTTGCTTCTTTCATTGTTACTAACAAGAGACCTTAGTTGTAATTTTTCCACGTTCTATATTTTGCAAATATTATCAGAGAATCAACAGACTTTACAGACAAAAACTCTGACAAATACATTTGGATTATATTTAAGGATAAAACTTACAGTACCAAACTAAAACTCATGGAGGACAAGGGCAAGCTCTCCACTCTATTCAGAAGGCTTTGGGTGAGGCAATTTGCAAAAGCAAGTTGGCAGAAACACAGGAAACTATTACCTATCTTAGTTAAATCCCCAAAAGTAAACTTCTGGTTGGTTTGTGTTTGCTTGGTTGTTTGTTTTTTTTTTTTTTTTAAATGGCTCCCATGTGTTAAAGAAATTCAGGTGGCAGCATATGATGTTATCTTGCAGGTATGGTTTAGGTATTCATGTCCTGTATTAACTAAGAGCATTTTAAGATTAGGCCACATACAGAGAAGATTTGAGTTTTGTAGTAAGTAGGATTTATTTTAGTTTTCTTTCATAAGAAAAATTGAAGTTAATTGGCTCATGTAAGGGTTGATATTTTTTTCCTCTCTTCTCTGATCACCAGTTCCTTAAGTGTTTTGGTCACTGTTTCACAAAAAACAACTGTGCTGCTGAAAACAGGGCCAGGAATGTAGAATGGCTACATACAGGGATCTTAGCCCAGAAGTAACCAAGACAGAGGGGCGCCTGGAAGTGACAGAATGGGTAAAAGGGCACACAAATACAGCACACATGAAACCTAAGCAAACACAACCATCAGCTTAAGAGTTGGCAGCGTCATAAAGATGCTTTTCAGATAGGCAATTTATACCCTGGCAGATCTTCTTCTGGCTGACTCTTTGTAATGAACCAGGGTTCTTCATCTCAGTAACAGGAACTTGGCTCATCCAAATCATCCACAGAACTAGGGAAGTGCAAAAGCAAGCAGTGAAGATAAATCCCATATTTGTAGTTGCTGCTGACTGATTCTGCAGGAGAATGTAACGCTGGCATCTGCACTCCATAACTCATGGAAAAAGTTACGCTTTTCAGCTCTGCCATCTAATATTAACCTGTATCTAACTTACTTCTTATTCTGTCAGCACTTCTGAAAACTTTGCTGTGGTAGGAGGCAGGTACTCTTCACTCTAAGGGACAGTGGTCTTTATGATTAACTCCACTAGATTCCCTACTTTCCCCTGCTGTGAATCATGGCTTTGTGGCAACAAGCTTGCATCAGGTAGAACATCAGTGTACATGGCTAAGAGACCCCAGGTTCCTGCTGGAGCAGCGTAAAAGGCTGTTCATCTGCTCAGATCCAGAACTCATAGCCAGCTATATGGTTTAAATAGAAATTTAACCATTACCTATTTCAGTCAAAACTGACACTGACACTCATGTCTGTGAGCTGTAGAAGCTGAAGAAATTTCACGTCCCCTTCTGTTGACCTTGATACAATTTGAGCTAATCGTTGGCAGATAGCTGGGGGCAATAATCTCAAGTGACAAAGCCCATCTGCCAGAGTCCTCCTACACTGCTGGGAATTTGGCTGCTGGTTCACAGGCACTAAGAATGGGAGGTTCCTCCCCTCTGCTCTTGCTGGCAGGAAGTGTTTTATTTATGATACCACAAAATCTTTGCTCTGCTTCAAGACAAAAGAAGAGGGGTTGTCATTGCCTGCTTTCAGAAAATAATCTTTTCAATCTTACTCCTCTGAAAACAAGTCCTAAAAGGGAGTAACCAGGTTACATAGCTGTGGGTTGGATCATCTGCATGAAGTTCATGTCCCTGTACTGTTTACTTTAATTATGTGGGATCAGGGCCCAACTATCAGCCATTCTTTGCAAATCATACCATATTCAAATAATTGCTAAGAAATATGCTTTTTCTTTTTCCCTAAACTGAAAAGCATTTGTGTCAGAATAAGACAGGGATCAGTAAGCCATCAATATATTGAATGGCCTGTCAACAACTGGGTTACATGAAACAATTTTACTTCAATTTAGCAACTCAGTGATTTTAATAGTGAAAACGTCCTTAGTAAGTTTGCAGGAGAGGGAAAGCTAATGTATTTGTTACAGAACTCTCTGTTTTTGTTCTGACAGAGAATTATATTCACTTAGGAATGCTAGCACAAGTTTTACTTATCTTTTTGTTTTTCCCCAATGGTAATGTACACTTAAAGTGAATTCCCATGCTTCAAATGAGGTTAATCTATTTTCAGCTACAAGTAAGCAAAACCATATTTGGTATCACATAAACAGCAGATCTCAAATTTGGATTTTATAACACTAGTTTAACCTATTGCTTTGTTATTTACTCTTAATTGAACTATGTTGCAAAATAAGATGTACAGTTAGTTATTAAAGAAACTAGGCTACGTTACATTTTCCTTTAAGGAATTAATACAGTATATTTTGTTTATTTTCTTTCTTTTAAAGAAAGCAAGAAATTAGCCTGCTAGTCTCCCCCTCCTTGGTAAATTTCATATTCAAAGAAACAATTGCTTGTTAGAAACATTTCCTAGAAAAAAATAAAGTTGCTTGTTGGATTTTATGAAAGCGCAGTCTTCTACTTTATTTCAAAAGCATCCATAGCAGTCCAAGAGATATTATGCCTCACCTAATTAAAAAAAAAAAAAAAAAAGAAAAAAATACAGAACATTTGAAAAAAACAGGAAAAAATATTATATTTCTCAGAAGCTGATCTTTTCCTTCTGCAGGCAAATGCTACTATTCTACACAGTAATATGCTGTTACTGGTCTAATTGAAAGAAATTTATTAAACTTGATCAATTTTTAGAGAAAGATTTTTAAATGAGAATTGTGCAAACTGTTCCTTTGTAATAACTAATCTGATGCTGAGTAGCAACATCTAACAAAAAAAAACAAAACTTGCAACACTGAATCCAAGCCACAAAAGTTGCCTGATTCAGGATTCAAAAAGCAAAGCCAGTCATCTCTTCACATAGGCTGTTTTTGTGGTGTATTTTAATTGTCCATTCTGCATTCTAACAGCAGCTGCAGGGATAGTTTCCAGCATAGCTGTTTGGAAACCATTTCAATAGAAGTTCTTCCAGATGTAGGTTCAAGTGTGCCAAATGGTCTGGCTCTTCAGTATAAAAAGCAAATTAGAAGTTGAGACTATGGTGCTTTAGCAGTAAGCAGCTTTTATCAGTGCTCAGCTCAGAGAACCTGCCTGCTCTGAAGATGGTTCCAATAGGCTTAATTTGGAGTGATACAAAAATGTCTCAAAGCCTTCTTTCCCCTCCTCCCCACCAAGTTTTCACTCCCAGTAATACAAAATGTCTAATAATCTATATAAAGTTAGAAGGATTTCTATTGAGGCTTCAGAAAATCAATTTTATACCCATAATACCTAAAAAATACCCACTAATGCTCTCTGTTATATATCATTAATCTCTCACACAAGGAAAGGATAGATTACCAGCTATCCAACCAATCAAGTTATTTAGCATACAATGAGATGGGATCTTATGAAATAAATGAATTCTTCAAAGGTACAACTTACCTATCAGAAAAGCATCTTTATAATGTTGCTAGTTCTTAGGTTATAGGAATTCTAAATTTTTAATTCTTCTCCCTTCAAAGACACACTGATGTTTAGCAATGACCGATGTCTATGCATTACCTTACAATTATCTGACGTTCTGTTGAGTACAGCCTACCATTGTAGATGATTTTATTCTATTATTGTATGTCAACTGTGAAGTACCTGGGCTGTGTTTAGTGTGCCACTTCCTGCTGCTGAATTAGATGAGTAGTTTAAAATAGTGTTGAAAAATTACAGCTTTTCAATTTGCTCAACTAATCTCGGTTTCAGACTATTTTGTTAGAGGACAATTCAGAGGGAGGGAGATATGCCTATTCTCTGGTGTTCTGTAGCATATTTTTACAGTACCGATTTCTTGACCCTTCTTTTCCTCTTTTGACTTTCTTTCCCTCTCCAAACCACTGCAGAATCCTTAAATATGCAATTATACCATGAACATTCAGTCAAATGATGAAAAGCCATCTGATTTTTCAGATGTAGTGACAGTTACCACATTTTAATGTCCATATCAGTTACTGACACTCTGAAGTTACTGAAGTTTGTGGAGGTGCTTGCAAGTAATTTTTTAAATATACTGGGTGTTGAAATTAAATCTTGACATTTAGAGCTAGTGGGCTGAAAGCATTCAGATTTCCTCCTGCTACAGGAACAAGATCTTCCTTTGTATGAAGTATCACTGGCATTTGAAAGATGGATCTCTGAAAACTCAAAAGCTTCTACCTAACTGATAACAGCAAAATTAAAGGTTGATACTTTACAGTATTGTATTTTAAACCAGCCATAAAACTAGTTATTAAAAATAAATTTCTTGCACCATTTGCTTTAAATTTGGATGAAGCAGACCCACTCTGCATAAATAGCACCACATCATCTTTGTCTGTGGCTGTAATACCCAGCACATGCTGCATTCAACAGAAAAGTATCACGTAAGTGAGAATAAATAATCTTACCAGTCTCCCAAGAACAGGAAACAACCATGTACCTGAAAACATTTATTTTCTTTTCTAACTGCATGAGTTGATCTGGAAAGGTGTATTTTTTTTTCTTTACATTTAGATTTAGTAAATGGTCTTAAAACACTGAGCCTCAAATCCCCTTCTCACAACACAACTCCCTAAGGAATAATATTGTGACCCCAGATAATTAATCCACTCTAAACATTTTTTGACTTGCATAAAATTGACATGATAAATGAGGGAAAAGAAAAACATCAGTTTATAGGTTCAAAGGAAAAAACAAGTTACAATCTTAGTTATTACCACGTTGCTATTAATTTTGAGTAACTTATTTTCAGTGTTCTTTCCTGGCTTTGGTTGGTAACATAAGGATTTTAGAGTAATCTTTTAAAAATCCTAATGCAGATTTCTAGGGCTCTGCTGCAAGAGCAATTTCCTTTGCCTGGAACAAAATACATGTCTTTGGCCAAGCTCTCACCAAAACCCCTTGCTGAAGAGATCCTAGTCTGCACCGTCAGTGATAGCTAAGTAACAACCAGTATTTATATAAGTGTTCACCACTGTACAGTCAAAGCCATCTACAATAAATATACTTTACTTTCCAGTAATATGATAGCAGATAGAAAGTTATCTTAATCACACTCCTGCCTTAATGCACAGCTCCAGAGGCAATGTTTTTATGAAAGCTGAGAGGTTTAATAAAATTAACTGTATCCTTATTTTGACTGTCACAGGGCTAACTGTATTACTCAGAGTAAGAATATTTTCTAATACATCTGTATATACTAGTGGAAAATGGATTTATTTCATTTTTCTCTTTACCAGTTTACTCCAGTGAGAGTCTAAGAAATGTATATAATTGAATGACATGTTGTACTACCTTCACTTACAAATCTCATTTGGCACCTACAATAATAAAAGGATTGATAGCAATTCAAGAAATGGCTGACATATTCAGAGCAAGTTTTTAATTAGATCTCTTCTTGGCTGAGCATCTTTTTGCATCTTGTTAGAATCTACGTTCCTTTGCACTTCTCAGAGATATTTAGGCACAAGTCACACAAATGCCTGATGGAAAAGACAGATGAGTCAAACTGTTGGAAAGTTCCCAGGGCAGCAGATCAGATCGCTAACTCTTCAGACTTTTTCCTCCGATAAATGTCAGATGTGTCACCCATTTAACAGCCATTGCCTGAAGAGATTTGATTATGTGCCACTATCACCCCTCTTGATTAATCAAAGCAGCAAGTGAAAAATAAGAAGCTTCAGATACTGTTTTTTTCCCCACTTTGCAAGAAATCGAGAACTATGTGGTTTTTCTCAGTGTGTTAAAAATAGACAATCTCTTTCAAAAGTCTCACTCTTTCACACAAAAAACTCATTATGACCCATTTCTTTGATCAAGAGAAAATTGGATTAAAGGCGTATTTTCTTCATTACAAATAAAGTATGTCGTTAAACAGAAAATTAAACTTCACAGCATAGAGAGAAGTACCATTTGAAAAAGATACATATCCTTCTCTATTAAAGATCTAAACGCGCATTCAATGGTTTTCTTTGCTAGACAAGGGTAAAAGGTAAGACTTACCTTGGTCAAACCCCAGGATCCAAGGAAAACTATGATGCTGGCAAATCCAGGGGTTCACCTTCTGTGGTGTTTTATGCTGCGCCTCTCCCAGTACCTGCTGTTGAACTCAAGAACAACTGCTTGTCCGCCCATGTTGTGTGTTGTTGTAACAAACAATATGCTATGTTTTGCCATTATTTCTATTATCAACATGAAAGAGATATGCCTTGGCTGGAATGAAAAATTGTGTTAATTGTTTGAACTGAAATTATCAGTCTGAGAGGCCTTAGAGCAAGATATTTATAGACATGAAGTCCTTTGACAATGCAGCCTTAAAAACATCAGACAGGAAGAAAGAGAAACATTTGCATGGATTTTGATTGTTTAATACTCAAGAGTGAAAAAGTGTAAAATCACAAAGCTTATACCACCACACAAATGCAGTTTTTCATTACAAATGACCAAAACACAAGCTGCCTGCAAAGTTTCACACAGCTGACATCAAACAATCTAGTTTCAACATTCTTACCGTCTTTTTAAACACCTGCTATTCACAAACATCAGTCAATACAGAGTTTTACGTCTTTCATACCTCTTCCTTTATATTCTATGCTATATTTGCTTTCTAGACCAGTGGTTTACACATTTGGAAAACAGTGCCCCACTTCTGATCTATATCAGCATATAAATATATATTTTTTTACCCCCGAAGTTACTAATTATATTTAAAAAGCATTTTCTTTAATCCAAACTCAGCGATAAAGTTCTTTCTTGTATTTAATGAAAAGCACAACTTATATGAGTAAGCTTCAGAAGTGCATGCTGATTGAGGTTATATCACCAATCCTTTCATCCACAGGTTATAATACTTATGCAGAAAGTGATCATACAGGGTGAGTTAGTACATCAGACAGTAGGTTCTATTTGCTCATACTCGTAACTCCTGTAC